GGAATCCACAGCTTCATGAGAGATGGCTCTACTATTGAATCTATTATTCTGTGTCAGCCTCTTATCTCATTAAGGTGCTTTTCACAGGTTATAATTGTGGGTGATGACGGAACAAAGGAAGGCTAATTGCCTTAGAGAAAGAACAAAGGAGTCAACAAGGGATGTGAGTCAGCGGAGCCTACTGGCAATGCCCTGAGAGCTCTTTTATTTACTTAGCATGATTTACATAGTATGTTGTGAGAGAGACAGATAGGATTCTAGTTACCTAATCATAATCAGGATTGGCTGAAATAACCCTTTGATCTTATGATCTACCTCTAAGCGAAAGGGCAGAATAAGGGGTTACCCTGCCTGCTGGCAGATGCCGCTTCCTGCCAGAAGTGTATGCATGGAACAGAATGTAGCTACAACCTTCAAGCAGAAGTTTCCCACATATAATCAAATCTAAAAGGAATTAACCATTGTATGTTGGAAACATTTTCCCAATTGACTGCATCACCTTGTTATATTTCTTATGAACAAACAAATGAACAAAAAAAGTACCTGAGTGCCCAGTTCTGTAACAGAAGGGTATTCCCATCTCCTCATCAAACAGCAGTGGCAGGGTCAATATAGGAGTCTGGGGTACTTGAAAGCCTTTTTGTTCACAATTTTGATGCACAGAGAAAGACTCTTTGTCAAAATGTGCAACCAATAGTAGCCACAAAATCATAGAATAATTTGGCCATTGAGTTCAAACCCTGCTCAATGCAGAAATTCATAGTCAGTGTTATGTTACTACTAATAAGTAGCTAACACTCAGCAAACTACTTGAAACATGCTAATGATGTATTTGATTTCGAAAACATCTAGGATGTGTACATATGAATATGAAATATAAATCAGCTAAAGTGAAGGTTGATTTGATCAAGAAATCATTTCACTGCCAAAGCATCTGGAACATACTGAAAGCACTACTACAAATGCCTTTGCACAGATTTATATATTTGACACATGTGATGTTGGACGAGTTCTCTTGTAGAAAGAAGAAAAATATTTGAAGAAATCTAAGTTATCAATTTCTAATAACTTCAAATATTTTTTCAAAAATATTTGAAGAAATCTAAGTTTTCCATGCGGTTATTGGATGTAAAAACATTTGCTAAATTTCTGCTTACCCATGTTCAAAACCTGTAGGATTTCCTTAAATGCAGCTGAGACGAACTCTTTTAATCTCTTTTCTCAAGATCTCAAAAAACAAAAAACAAAGATGAACTCATTTAATCTCCTTTTTCAAGATCTCAAAAAACAAAAGAAACAAACAAAAAAACCCCAAAAACCTCCTGTGCCCATTCCCTTGGAGAAGCAAAAGCTATGTACATAAGTAGTATGGAAGAAGCCCTCGTAGTTAAAGAAAAATGCAAATAAGCATCTAATGCTTCAGTCTCTCAAATATTGTAGTGGCCAATCCAAGCTATGATTCTTCATCTCTGTCCATGAGAACAAAACAAGCCAAGATTCTTATCTACATTTCCTTACCCTATTTCTTGCTGCCTTTTCCTCACCAACTTGACACCAAGAACTAATTTGGTGAGTTAGTTTGGGGAATACTTAAAAGAGCAAAATGGGTTACAGTTTCTCAAAATCCCTGTGAGGCACAGTGGGCCAAGTAGAGAATCCAGGGACTTTCTGGCAGTGGAGTCTGTCCTGGCTTCTCCAAAAGCCAGCATAGCTTGTGTTGGCTTCTAGGATCTTCTTCCGGACTGAGCCTAGGTAGACCTAGGAAGCAAAGTTCCTCCCTAGGAAAACTAAAAGCTTATAAATGAAATAACGAGCATTTCTTTTACCCTATCAAAGGCTTAGCAGAAGTTTGTACGAGCTGTGCAGCCATTCAGAGATGAGCCTATCGGAAGGTTTGAAAACAGTAACTAAAACTGTGAACGCTATTGCTTAAAGATATTATTTTAGATTTCCTATGTTGAGTCTTAATACCATGTCTTGCTAAGCATGTATGTATCCACTTTAATAAACATGAACATAACGGGATGGAAGATTTTACCTTCTCACTAATTTTTGTCAGCATAGTATCAAAACTGAATACAATCTGTGGAAAATAAGTAACATATTGGGGCATTTAAGAGCTGTGGATTTCTGCTTTGGCAGAGGCTGGACTTGATGACTCTGAAAGTCATTGAATCACAGAATAGAATAACAGAATAATGGAGTTGGAAGGGCCTATAAGGCCAGTGAGTCCAAACCACTACTCAATGGAGGAATCTAAATCAAAGTATGACTGACAGATGGCTATCTAATTTTCTCTTGGATGCTTCCCATGTTGGAGTGCTCACCACCTCCCAAGGTAATTTTATTGGTCTAACAGTATGGAAGTTATGAAGTTGGTCCTGATATTCAACCAAAATCTGGCTTCCTGTAACTTGAATCCATTATTACATGTCCTGTACTCTTGGATGATCAAGAACAGATCCTGTTCCTCCTCTGAATGTCAGTCTTTAGAGTATTTGAAAAGTGCTATCATATCTTCCATCAGACTTCTTTGTCCCTCCCAGGTGTACACTTCTATGATTCTAGGAGGGTTTGAAGTTGCAGGGACACCATCCACACAAAGCTAAGTAAGGCCCTTTTACTTCATTTAATATTTAAGTATGTGCTAAATCTTTCGACCAGAATCCAGAGGGGGGAAATGAACACAGAATGTTGATCACATGGTGGCTGCAGAATCAGTCTTGTGACCAGTCACACAACAGATGTCCTTCCAAAGGAGGGGGAGGAACTAATCATATGATTATTGCTCCACATACAGTTTTTCCCCCCATCAGGATTCTAGCTCTGAATTGAAACTAGAATTGTTCAAGGCCCCTTTTTGGAAAGTGTCATTCAGTTTCATAATTCTCATATCACCTAATGTAATAAATGTTAAGAAACATTTCCAGGACCTTTCCATGACAGTATTTTTCATTGTTGCCAGTGAAATTTCTAGCAGTGTTAATGAGCTTTTTTAAATGGATAATTCAGTAGGATCAGATGCAGAGACAGAGAACTGATAACTTTCCAGATGCCATTGGACTGCTACTCAAATTGTTCCCAGTCATTGGCCATGCTGGCTGGTGCTAATGGCACCTGGAGGGCTGTATGTTCTCCATTGCGACTCTAACTGGCCTACTAAAGTTGGCTAATTTTTCTGTCACCAAGTACCTCTCTTACTGAGCTTCGTTTGACACCATCATACTGACCTGTGGCAAGCCTGCCTGAGGCCAAGATGGGAATAGATACAGATGTATTTTTGACAATGTCAAAACATGTGTGAAGACACAGACTTCAAATAAAATGTCATAGATAAAATCTGAAAGTGAAGAGGAAAGTTTTATTTCTTTGCTGGAAATAAAACTGCTTCAGGGAATCGAGAGAGAATAAAACAGAAAATGTTACTTTGTTCAGAATCCAGAGGTAATAATCTTTCCTCCTAGCATCTTTGCTGACTTCACATCTTAATCTGTATAAAAATGTTAAAGTACTACTAAAAATCCCATGCATGTAAACAACAGAGTAAATTCTTTTAAAAACCTCTGGTTTATGAATGGGGGGGATTTTGTTTTTGTATTCACTATTCAAAAACCAGGAAATTTTACCATTAGGGGGAAAAAAGCCAAGTTTTAAATAGCAAAGGACAGCCTGAATATATGCTAGTGGATGTAGGTAGTGACATTCATATGAGTCATATGAATGTAACTACCATTCATAAAGAGACACAAAGCAATGGAAAATTCTAGAAGCTGACTCTGTTTTCCATCAGTTAACTACAGTGATGCCTCGCAAGACGAAATTAATTCATTCCACAAGTCATGTCGTATTGTGAAATTTTCACCTTGCGAAGCACGGTACTAATGGTTGTGTGATTTAAAACACCCCCCCAATAAAAAGGGGGAAAAATCATCTTGCGAAGCACAGCCATAGAAAAATTCATCACAAAAAGTCACAAAAAAAATCGCAAAATGAGTTTTTCAGTGTGTGAGGCATTTGTCTTGTGAAGCATCACTGTACTTCTTACTCAAACACAAGGCAATTGTCAGAGCTAGGAAAGTGGGTGGAACCATACGAAAAGAAGACCTAACATGAGATGGGTTGATTCAATAAAGGAAAGCATGGATGTTAGTTTGCAAGAGCTCAGTGGAATTTATTGGAATTACCATTTTCAGAATTACCTTATAAAATGTTGATTTGCACTGCCAGCACAAGATTGTTGCTGCACTTCTGTGCAGCAATGATTATAGAATCTATTTCCCTCTCTGAGTAGAAAAGAGCACCATTAATGGTTTAGACACTAGAAGTAAATATTATGTTTATCTATAGAAGAAATATTGGGGTGGAGGAGAGAAGAAAAACATGGGAGAAATAACATAGATATCATATTCTAGTTACTAGTATATGAATTAATAATTCTCATGTAAAGTTATCGTGGAAGAATGGTCCAGATGGGATGAAAATCACAGTGTGAAACAAGCACCTTCTACTGCATGGTTTTTTTCCCCCTTTTCTTTTTGTACTGCCACATGTAACAGTCCAGAAGCAACTGTGTATCAGCTCATAACCAAGTCGAACCTTAAACTTCAGTCTGACGGTAGAGTCTGTCAACTGACATCGTGTGGGGCTATATCCCATTTGCTTATCAAATGAAAAGGATTAACCAGATCCAGAGTTCAACAAGCCTTACTTGCTCTGGAGGCCTGCTGTATTTATCTAAGAAGTGCCATGTTATTCATCCTGCCAATGTACTAAACTGCACCAGCATATTAGCTGATCACATCAAGAAGACTCCTTTTTTTAACAAGCAGTATCCCATTTCATTTCAAGCCCAATAGATATATAAGAAGAGGAAAATACATTCCTTGAGAAAGTATACTGAATGCTTTCTGATATCTCTTGATATATCCTGATGATATAGCAAAATAGGACCCTAGCTTTAAGCCTGGCTTAAAAGAATGAATTGAACTACCATCCCATACCTTAGCCTTTCTTGCCAGGTTAACTCAGAATTTCAGTTGAATCTTAGTTCTTCCACCAGGAGATAGGATGATGCAACAGCAACGTACAGGCCCTGGAGAGAAATGGGAAGAGATGGAAAACACAGCAGAATATCAAAATCCTGGTCTCCATATTTCAGCATGGCCAGAGAAATAAAGGCATATTTTGTATGATGTTAATACAATGAAAATTGTTTAGGACGTTACCGGAGTAAAAGTCTATATATAAACATTTTAAACAAATAAACTTATAAGAGTAAGACACAAACACAAGTATTTAAGCAAAATATTTTAGCTTCTACTTTCATTATTGATTTCAATCAAATTTCATATTTTGATATGCATATATTTAAGTGAACATGAATAATGTCTGATGGTTACAATTATTAAAGCATGTTGATCAGCAAGGAAAAAAGACTTTGGCTGTAATTCTGTTGTTTAGCATCTTAAATCGCAACTAGAGCAGGCCCACTGAATCAGTGGGGATCTGGTGAGATATCTTCCATAAATTGTGTTGATTCAAATGGGCCTACCTGAGTTCAAGCTTGCTATGCAACTAGAATAGGCTCATTTGAATCAATGGAACTTAGGGAGGGGTTTGCTCACGAGATCCCCACTGATTCAGTGGATCCACTCTAGCTGTGAATTACTATGATAAACAACAGGATTTCAGCCATTAAATACAGAATAGGTATGTAATTTATATAGATGGTCATGAACTACTGAACAGGTGGTTTGTGATGGTTTGTCCTTCAGCAGAACAGACATTTGGTGCGTCCCAATCCTGCCTTTTTTCGGACACTGCCTCTGAGTGGGTGCCCACTTGTGGAGGCGGGGCTGGGAAATGCCAAACCCCTGTTCATCTGAAGGACAAACTGGAACAAACTGCCAGTTCAGTGGTACATGCCCCATCTCTAGTAATTTACTGTAATTTTCCATGTATAAGACTATACTTTTGTCTAAAATCTTTAGACTAAAAATTGAGGGTTGTCTTATACACTGAAGTAAGCTGAGGAGAGGACAACCACAAGTAGAGGGGAAAGCAGGTATCAAAGTGATCCTGCAGTGCTTTGATCCCTGCTTTCCCCTCCACTTGCTAAGCCCTACTTAGATTTCTTAATTTGGGTTTAGAAAAGTGGGGGAGTCTTATACACAAAAAATATGGTATATCCTTTGATCATTCATATCTAATTCATTATAAAATTATATCTGTAAATGGCAGTTTTCTGTTCTGCTCTTTCTTTATACAGCAAGGTTGCTATGATAGATCATTAACACAAACACCAATGTTGCAGTGAATACAGTCTTTACAGACTGTTGTAAAATCTGTTGCAGTACAATAAACATAATACCTAATAGCTATAAGAGAAAACAAAATAAAATTTCAATTTCAGTTGCAAAAATATTTGTAATTCTGTAAGATGTCATCAAGGATGAATGTGACTGCATACAGCAAGGCTGTGTTTGGAAAAAAATAATGAGATAATAGTGCTAAGGGTCTTTCTGCCTCCACTGCCCTTAAAGCAACCCATCCCTGCCAAAGTAGAACTCTTCTTTCACCAGCAAGAGAGAAATGTCACCTAATAATCATCCTCCAGAACAACATGTTCTATCCACTCTGAAGAAATGCAGCAGGTAAACACAGCCTTGAGTTTAAACCAGCCAACTACAAAGTAGCAGTTTATCATGAAGTATGAAAACAAGAGGATTCCCATTGTGGTGTAATGGATGGCATGGTGGGTTGCAGTACAATAAACATAATACCTAATAGCCCCACTGGGGGGTGGAAATAGTAAAACCACCTCTTAAATATCTCTTTCCTTGAAAGCCCTATTAGGATGGCTGTAAGTCAGTTCCAACTTGATGGCACAGAATACACACATGCAGACAAGAAGATGCAAAGCTTGTCTGTAACAGTACGAGATGAGGAGGAACTGCAACATTATTCTGCCCATCTCACAAGAGGAGAGGTAGTTCCAGAAATTCTTGACCAGAGAAGAGAACAAGATTATTTTTGTACAAATTAAGCAAAGTTGGCCAAATAATGCTTTAATACACACAGATCACACAAAATTACATTTAATTAATTACATTTTTATCCCAGTCAACTAGTGGCAGTCACTACTGATGTCTGCTGCTTTGTTAAATGGTTTTTCAACAGTTTTTCAGACTTTGTTAAATGGTTTTTCAGACAGGATGTTAGTGTATTTTTAAACTATCAGTCAGTCATTCCATGCTTGTTGGGTGTGGGTATGTGCATTGCTTCTTAATGGGAAAGGGCACTGTTTTTATGCAGAGAGACAGTTCTGTCATGGGGATTGAAAATAACCTTGTCCGGTCCCTGGTGCAGATCATTTACAAGGTGATTTAAGTAGTCTCAGTCTCATACCTCAGCTAACAGCCCAACCAAAATGGGTTATAAGTAAACATAACACGCCTAAGAGTACAGTTTCCAATGTGGAATCCAAACATTATCTAAATTCCTGCTGTGATGAGCCTGAAGCCCAAGAGAAATGGGGAAATTTCTAAGAAAAAGCTCGCAGAAGCAAAACAAAAGGAGGAGTTGTTCCTTTGCATCCTCTCACTCATTCCCATCAAAATTCTCAACTGTTTTGAGAGAATGTTCATAACCATCAAAAGAGATAATGAAATGTTTCACTTAATTTAAAATTAGGAATATAGAAGTCCTGAAAATACTATTGGAGCCCATACATCCCCCATCCCCTCTTACAAACTACCCCCCCCCCCACAAATAAGCCTAAAATTTGAAATAATTAGGAGATACCCAAATCTTGATCACGATCCAAGATGCTGTTACAGAATATATGGTTCTTCTTTCTTATCCAGTACAATGAACAGAGTGACAAGAAAACCTTATGCACTAGATTTACTGTGCTCATGAATGCAGTCAAACAAGTTTCCTGTGAAATAGTTGGTGGGGGCAGGAAGAATTGCCCTGTCTTCCACCCTTACAGTGGTACTGGGAAAACCTGAAGGTTAAGTACCAGATTAAAGCATTTTACCTCACATCTTGTTATTATCCACTCAACACCTGAGATTTAGAAAGCACATTTCTTTTTCTAGTATGCTTTTCAGACATGCTCTTCCCATCTATCTCACCTATCTTCTCCAATTATTTTCATGGGTAGAGAAGGAGCAGATCTTGGATTTATGTTCTCACAGACATTGCAATGGAACAGAGTGAGATTCACATTTGAATTTCAGGTCATGATTGGAATTAAACAAGTGTATAAAAAGAATAAGGAACTTGTTCATTTCATGATGACCACAATGTTATTTTCAGTAGATAAGTGAAACTAAAATACAACTATAGACATGGCCCTAAGAACTGATGGCATGTTAGACAGGTACTGAAATAAATTCACCAGAAATAATAATTTCAGCTCCTAAACTCTTGTGCTATAAAGCAGCAGAGCACCTGCAATGTGATACGCATGTATATTTACAAAGGTAGCGGAGTAGCTCTGAAACGGTGAAACACATCAGACATGTCTGAATGGACAGTCTGTAAAGAGTATGCAAGAAGGAAGGAGACCATTCCAGATTTCAGGTGAAAGAACAAAAGACTGCAGTAGAAGGCTGCAAGATCCATGGCTTTTGAAGCACGGTAGTTTTAGAATGAATACCTAGAATAGACAGGCACGTTGGTTCCAGGTTAAAGATTCGGAGTTCAATTCCTTACTGTACCACCTATGAGACAAGCCAGCTGTGTACTCTAGAGTAAACTGTACAGTCTGACAGTGACCCCAGAAGAAAGTAATGGCAAACCACTTCTGAGTATTGTCTACCTGGAAAACCCTGAAAAGGGTCTGCATAATTCAGAATTTACCTGACAGCACACTATTGTTTATTATTTAGTTGGTCATAAAGTTAGTTAAGTGAGTTCTCCTTCTCCTAAGGTTGATGGGGTGGAGAATAAATGTTCACATACCGAATTTTGATGATATAAATACACCTATTGCACATTCACTGAACCAACAATCCATGTTACAGTAGTAAACTACTACTAGATTAGTCCAGTTGAGATGTAACAGCTGAATTATGGTTTTGCTGTGAGGATTGTCTTTTAGGGGCCCCTTTTCACTCTCATTGCCTCTCTCCACATGTGATAATCCCACACCCCATTTCCTGATTCACACTACCCAGCATGAAAACTACTTCAAAGTAAAGCCTTCCACACAAGTAACTGAGACTGTAATGAAAGCTGTAGCAATGTACTGTTAGCCACACCCTGATTACTTTTTCCTGTTCTCTTCCTGCATACTTCTACAGCATCCTGCCTGAAGAACAGCTGTGTGACCTCCAATACTTACACTTTTCTTTATGACTTTTTCTTTGACCTTAACAAGAAATGAGGATAATTAAATAATAAAATCCCACAAAAATGGATGAGGAATTATCCACCTATCATGTTAAAAATTAGGAATGAATAAAGAATATTTAACTGCTTCTTACTAAACTTACTGGCATTTCATGTTCTTTATAAAGTCATGTTTTCCATTTAATGACCATCGTACCATGCAAACCATTGGGTCAGATTTGACAAAATTATCAGTATTTATTTTCCAAAAGCCGAAGACTCAAAGCCTAACTCACTCATAATGGACACAAAATAGATCCTGTTATTCTGCCAATAAATCAATAAGGTTCACTACAGATTGTAGTTAACTATTTGAATTTGTTTCCCTTCATGTCTCACAGATAAGCTTTTCTGAAAAATGTTCTTTCCTGGAAATGGCAGAGTTCTGAAAATGCAGCAAAGTACTCTCTCCATGCCTTAGCTTTATGACCGGCAATAAAAATGCTTGTGAAAAGCATGGGCAGCAGATGGAAAATGCCTCCATGTCATAGCAGTTTTAATACATGATCTCTATGGAATGCATACCCTTTTCTCTTATGGTATGGAATCTTGAAAGGGAAACAAACATAATTTTTCTGCAATTAGGTACACCAAAGCAACTTGAAAGAGTGAATAGGAGACGTTGAAATTGAATTCATACAGCATCTTCTGTCATGTGACTGTGCAACCTCAGTCAAAAGAAGCTCAGCCCAT